AAGGGGTATAGAAATCTATCTTACCTTCAGAAAAATAGAAGGGGAAGAGGATGAGGGAAGGGGGAGTAATAGAAGGGAAATCAGATTGGGTGAGGAGAAATCAGAATATAGGCTGTCATGGGATGGGAGAAGGTGGGGAATGGGGAGAAAACTTGTAACTCAAAATCTTGTAAAAGTGAATGTTGAAAACAAAAAAGAAATAAATTGGGGAAAAGAAATAAATATGAAATAGGTAAGAAAAGGGAAGAGAATGGTAAAGAGAGTAGAAATGGGGAAAGACTAAATAGTCTTTCAAAAAAGTCTTACAAAACTCATAAAACTGACTGAACATGGAAAAATAGATAGCAAAAACCTTTTTTTGGGTAGCGTAATATACCCCTTTCAGATTTACAAAAATCTAACATATGGATAAACAAAAAAAAGGAGTTGAAGATTTGAATAAAATTTTGGAAAATTTGGGCCATAGTTTAGATGGTAGAGAATCTAGATAGTAGGCTTCTGTGGCTAGTGAACGAGAAACATCAATAGTTTACAAACCCTTCAGCTATCCACGGAACCTTTTACTAAAACTGACCATGTTTGTGATTATAAGTAGATGCTGAAAAGCAAGGCTACTAACCACATAATTTACTAACCACAATCGCAAAAACATAATCAAGAAGGACATTTTGAATCAAGGATTCAGACTTATATGGAGACTAATGTTAAAGAATGCATAAGTCAAAGAAAAAAATCATAGAAACAGATAATTTATGAGAAAAAATGATTAAAATGTGACAGCATACCAAACATGGGAAGAAACAAAAATAGTCTTTGGAGGAAAATTTATATTTCCAAATATGCTTGTGAACAAAAAAAGGGGGAAAAAAGAAAAGTCAGAGATCAATGAACTGGGCATGTAACAACAACAACAAAAACTATAAAAGAATGAAATCAAGGAAAAATAAGCACAATATAAAGTCTGGAAATAAAAAGGTATTAAAAATTTTAAACAAAAATCAAATAAAAACTGAGTGGCTAATTTGATTTTTTTAAAAAGAGCACAAAACTAAATTACCCCCATCAAAAATGAAACATATCACCAAAGATAAAAAGAAATAAAGGACATTAAAATGATTTTGTCAAATTACATGATGGTAAATCTGATAATATAAGTGGGTGAATACTTTCAAAAGTGTGAAATAGCCAGACTGACAGAATAAGAAATAGAGAATTTAAGCCGCCCACTCTGAGAAAAGGAAATTGAATAAGATACAAATGAATTCACAAAGAAAAAAAAAAACTTCTGACCCAATGGATTAAGAGTAAATTGATTACAAATGAATGCTATCAAATAGTTAAAGAATTATAGATCTAATATTATGTAAGTTGCTTGCAAAAATAGAGAAAAAGGCATCTTTTAAAAATGTTTATTTATTTTTAGATTTCACCATTCATTTCCATAAGATTTTGAGTTCCAAATTTTCTCCACTCTTTCCCTTCCCCTCACCCCGAGATGACATATAATTTTATATAGGCTGTACATCTACATTAATATTAAGCCTATTTTCACATTACCCATATTGTAAAGAAGAATTAGAATCAGTAGGAGAAACCAAGAGAAAGAAAAAAACAAACAAAAAAAGAAAAAAGAGAGAGAGCAAATAATATGCTTTGATCTGCATTCAGACTCCATAATTCTCTTTCTGGGTGTGGATAGCATTTTCCATCATGAGTCTTTTGGAGTTGTCTTAGATCCTTGAATTGCTAAGAAGAGACGTCTGTCAAAGTTAGTCATTGCTGCTACTATGTACAATGTTCTCCTGGTTCTGCTCAACATCAGTTCATATTCAGTCTTTCTAAGTTTTTCTGAAGTCCACCTGCTCATCATTTCTTATAGCACAATAGTATTTCATTACATTCATAAACCACAACTTGTTCGGTCATTTCCCAATTGATGGGCCTACCCTCAATTTCCAATTCTCGGCCACCACAAAAAGAGCTCCTATAAATATGTTTTTTCTGTAGGTATGGGTCCTTTTACCATTTGTATGATCTCTTTTGAGTGCAGACTTAGAAGTAGTATTGCTGGGTGAAAGCCTATGCACATTTCTATAACCTTTTAGGCATACTTCAAAATTGCTCTCCGGAATGGTTGGATCAGTTCACAGCTCCACCAACAATGCATTAGTGTTCCAATTTTCCTACATCTCCAGCATTTATAATTTTCCTGTTTTGTCATGTCAGATCATCTGAGAGGTGTGATGTGGTACCTAAGAGTTGTTTTGATTTGCATTTCTCTAATCAATAGTGATTTAGAGTATTTTTTTCATATGACCGTAGATAGCTTTAATTTCTTCATCTGTAAACTGCCTGTTCATATCCTTTGGCCACTCATCAATTGGGGAATGACTTGTATTCTTATAAATTTGACTCAGTTCTCTATATATTTTAGAAATGAGGCCCTTATTAGAAGCACTGGTTGTAAAATTTCATTCCCAGTTTTCTGCTTCCCTTCTAATCTTGGTTGCATTGGCTTTGTTTGTGCAAAAAGTTTTCAATTTAATGTAATCATAATTATCCATTTTGCATTCCATAACATTCTCTATCTCTTGTTTGGTCATAAATGCTTCTTTTCTCCATAAATTTGACAAATAAACTGTTCCTTGCTCCCCTAGTTTGCTTATAGTATCAGCCTTTATATCTAAATCATGTACCCATTTTGACTTTATCTTAGCATAGGGTGCAAGATATTGGTCTATGCCTAGTTTCTGCCATACTCTTTTGCAGTTTTCCCAGAAGTTTTTGTTAAATAGTGAGTTCTTATCCCAGAATCTGGAGTCTTTGGGTTTATCAAACAGTAGATTACTGTAGTCATTGACCACTGCATCTTGTGTACCTAACCTATTTCACTGATCCACCACTTTAAAATTAAAATAATAATTAGGAGCTATTTTGCCCAACTGTATGCCAATAAATTTGACAATATATTACTAACAAAGCCCAAGAGCCAGCGAAGGAAAGAGAAATTCTGCTTTAAGTTTCTGTAGAGGGGGGCAGATAGGTGATACAGTGGATAGAGCACTGGCCCTGAAGTCAGGAGGACCTGAGTTCAATTCTGGCCTCAGACCAAACACTTGACACTTATTAACTGTGTGGCCCTGGGCAAATCACTTAACCCCAGTTGCCTAAAATTTAAAAAAAATTTTAAAAAATAAAGTTTCTGTAGACATTATAAAATATTTGGGAGTCTACCTGTCAAAACAAAACCAGAAGCTATATAAACACAATTACAAAACACTTCTCACACAAATAAAGTCAGATAAAAATGACAATTCTACCTGAATTGATTCACTTATTCGGTGCCATACCAATCAAACTACCAAAAATTATTTTGTAGAGCTAGAAAAAAATAAAATTCATCTGGAAGAACAAAAGGTCCAGAATATCAAGGGAAATAATGAAAAGAAAGGAAAGGGAAGGTGGCTTAGCAGTGCCAGATCTTAAATTGTGCTATAAAGCAGCAATCATCAAAACTACTTGATGCTGGCTAAGCAGTTTTCAGATGAAGAAATTAAAGCTATCTATAGGCATATGAAGAAGTGCTCCAAATCACTCTTTATTACAGCAATGCCAATTAAAACAATTCTGAGGTGCCACCTCATATGTATCAAAATGACTAATATGACACAAAAATGAAAATTATAAATTTTGGAGAGGGTGTGGGACAATAGGAACTAATGCACCCTTGGTGGAGTTGTAAGTTAATCCAACCATTCTGGGGAACAATTTGGAGCTGTGTCCAAAGGGCAACCAAACTGTGATTACCTTTTGATTCAGCAATACCACTACTAGGTCTGTATCTCAAAGAGATCATAAAAAAGGAAAAAGGACTTACATATGCAAACATATTCATAGCAGCCTTTTTCAATGGTGGCAAAATACTGGAAATTGAGGGGATGCCCATCAGTTGGGGAATGGTTGAATAGGTTGTGGTATATGAATATAATGGAATACTATTGTGCAATAAGAAATGATGAACAGGCAGATTTCAGCAAAATTTGGAAAAACTTGTACGAACTGATGCGAAGCAAAATGGGCAGAACAAAGAAAACATTGTACACAGCAACATTCTGTAATGGTCAGCTATTCTGTAATGATCAATTATTAGCTCTTCTCAGCAATACAATAATCCAAGACAAGTACAAAGGAAAATGCTGTTCATATCCAGATAAAGAACTGATGGACTCTGAATGCAGATTGAAGAATACTTTTTCCACTTATTTTATTCTTTTGTGTGTTTTTTTCCCTTTTGTTCTGTTTCTTCTTTCACAACTGTGACTAATATGAAGATATGTTCTACGTGATATCATGAGTAAAACTTATATCAAATTTCCTACCATTTTAAGAAGAGGGGAGGAGAGAGAGGGAGGGAAAAATTGGAACTCAAAATCTTGTAAAAATGAATGCTAAAAGTTGTCTTGACATATAATTGGGAAGTAAAATAAAATACTATTAAAAATGAAACAATGCTGGCATGGACTACCTCTCTTCAGTATCTCAGTATTCTCTCAGAGATGAGACCATCCTCTAAATGGTCTGATACCCAAAACATTACTAAACTGGAAATACCTTTTGACACAGCAATATAATAGAGATTAAATAATTACCAGGTGTTGTTTCTAATTGGTTTTTTTTTCAGTTGTTATTTTACCTACTTAGTTAATGTTTGCTGAATTGAATTGAACCTAAATACCTTTTTGCTACCAGCTAGGCCTATTTCTCTTCTTCTGTCATGATTGGAAATAGAGAAGGACTAGAGGTTTCTCAAGTCCATATAGTAGCCCTTTAATAATTTTATTATAATTAAGTTAGGATTAGCCTCAGCATTTTCTTCTCCAAGCTACAAATCCCATTGCCTTCACCAAAAACAAATTATTCTCTTTTCCATTTATTATTATATCAAATATTTCTATTGTGATAAGGATAGTTTATAATGGAATTCTTCATTTATGCTACAGATACCTGGAACTGGAAAGCAGTGGTCATCGAAATGAAATCAGGTTGCATTACCATTCAGGCAGTAAGCAAACTCAAACAGAGGTGTTTCCTTACATTTTGGCTGATGATACATGGCACAGACTCTCCTTAGCCATTAGTGCCTCACATTTGATTTTACATGTGGATTGTAATAAGTAAGTGAAAATTGATTCTGTAGAGTAATTGGGACATTATAGAGTAAAAAATGAGAACAAGTGTGCTTAATTTTCCCATTTTATTTTATGCAGAATTTATGAAAGAGTAGTGGAAAAACCATCCATGGATTTCCCTTTAGGCACAACTTTTTGGCTAGGACAAAGGAATAATGCGCATGGATACTTTAAGGTAAGATCTCACAGAAAAAAAGTTAAATAAGTGTTTATGTAAATTCTTTCTGTATAAACAATGGAAAACACATGTACTTCTAAGAGGAGTAGATTTTCATTCATTTCAGCAATTTACTCTCCCCTTTTTTTCAAGAGGGCAATTCTCCTTTTTTTATCATTTTAAAAATTGTATTTTATTTAACTGATAAACTCTTTTCCATTGATGTGCTTAATGATAGTCATTAATTGGACTCTTACAACATAGTCAAGGAAAGAGATGACAGATAATATGGTATTCAATATGGTAAAAATGTAATTTGAATATTTTGAATATCAGCCTCACCTTCATCTTCCACATTACCTTTGATACTTCTTTTATGGTGACATTAATATTTGTACAAGGCTTTTCCTCCCTCATTACTCTTGTTCTCCTTGAAACTTAAAATGCTACATAAGAACATATATCTACAAATCCACCAAGACATGAAAGTAGTCATACATTTTCTAATGTACATTTAAAGACTCGAAATTTTAGAGTTGTCAGAGACTGACTAAATTGAGATCATCTAATCCATCAAAATTTTAAAACTATGGACCAGAGAGATTAAGTGACTTGTTTAAATTTACTCAAATACTTGTTATAAAGCAGGGACTATTGAATATTATGTGCCATATTAATAAGAATCCCAGGCAGAGTAAATGTTTTAAAGGAAAACTAATGACGAATAAAAACTTAGACTCAAACCCAAGCACTGGGAAGAAAAACAATAACAACAAATTTCATTTCTGTAATTGAGTCTATAAAAATTTATAATTATAATTTAAAGTTTTTTTGTCATTGTGATTAGATCAAATTGGGAAGATTATACAAACATACATATATGTATTGTGCATATACACACACACACACACACACACACACACATATATATACACACACATATATACATATATTCCAATGTTTCAGTGACAAATCCATAGATATTGAAAATATTTTCTTCAACATACCTTGGTGTTGTTACTGTAATTGATCTGCTGTTCTGAAATATTTTGACCATGAATTTTATTATATGCCATTAAATTTTGTATATTTCTTTATTGGAGATGATATAAATTTTACTTACCTAGTATATGTAGCATACCAAGTATACCAAGCACAAAATAAATAAAACTTGCTCATAAAAACTAATCTCAAAACATATTAGACCTTGAACTTCAAAATAACTGAACAAAAATGGCAGTATCTATTGAAAGGAAATTGGGTGTTTAAGTTTCAATAGGGTTGACCAACCTAAATGTTCAGGGAGTTGCAAATCCCAACAGTGAAAAGAAATTAATAATACTGTATCCATGAACCAAAAATTTGAGGCACACTGTATCTGACAATTGATAAGGCTAGTGAGAAATAACCAAATTGCTGAATCAAAGGGAAAAATGGATTGTATCTAATGGGATAATAAATTTTAAATTACTTTAGCCTTTGCTTTTAGAAGTCCAGTAAGTAAATGTATTTGCTTTGATAACTAAGGATTAATATAAATTTTGCCTGTAAGTTTGTGATGAAATGATCTGTGTAAAACATTTAATTTCATGCTAAACCTCCTAGCCTCTGAAATCTTGTCAAAATACCTCTTTGCAGCTGGGTAATGGACCTCCTATTCTTTTGGAATTGAGAAATGCTTGAAAATGAGAATTAAAACAAAGAGCAAAATGAAAAAAAGTAAAATACATAAACATAGTATTTATAATTCAATTTTTCTTTTTTTGTTTCTATGACAAACATATCATTTTATATCCCCAAAATAACATTGTTCTGTACAAAGAGAAAAATATGATTATATGTGAAGTTACAAATCTCTATTATATTATGTTATATATCTATTATATGTTTGCCTTTAAAATATATGTAATGTAGTCCTAATTTTTTTTTTCTGATTTAGCTCTTTTAAAATTTTTGTCTGCTTCAGAGCCTTTGAAACCAGAAAAGCCTTTCAGAGTGCTCTTTAACAGGTCATTTTCAAGTTTTATTGTCAAACTAAACTTTTTCAAGTTTTACTGACAAACTAAAAACAACATTCCCAAACATATAGCTATTGCCACTTAATTACAATATTATATTTAATTGTAAGACTTTAAAAATACTGTTGATGAGAAT